TTTTTTTTTTTTTTGTCTTTTTGAGATAGGGTTTCATTACGTAGTTCAGGCAGGCTTTGAATTTACTTTGTAGGCCAGGCTGTCCTTAAACTCAAAGAGATCTTCCTGCGTCAATCTTCTGAGTGCTGGGACCAAGAAAGCTTCTACTAGGGAAGACCTGCTGGAAGTAATTCAAAACAAAGTCCCCAGGCTAGAATTATGGTTAGAATTAAAGATGAAGAAGCATTGGAAATAGGTAGGAAAAGTAAGTTATGTTAGGGATTGTATCTGTGCCATTCCATCCACTGGTATAGACAAGGACAAATTAAAGCACAAAGGAAAAACCAAACATAAGGCTGAAATGGGTGACCAGAAGCTAAAAGTTAATTAAAAATCTGTTACATAAAATCATTAGCAAGTTAGGATTTGAACTTATTCATGCCCTTCTGGACCATCCTATTTGTCCTCACATCTTTCAGCCTATTCTTTAGAATAGATTTTGACTATCTTCTAACAACGAAAACAAAGCCCAAGAAAATATAATGAAAACTGTGCTTTAGTCACTGATACTAGAGAAGAAAACAGGAGAATCTATCTAACGAGAGTCATATACTCTAGTGTATGTTTCAGTTAATAACCTAAATTTACATAACTCAGTTTATAAAAAATTTGTTCAGGTATCCTCTTTACATTGCATAATACAGATAAACTAATATTAAGTCATACAATATTTTTGCGTAAGTTTTAAAATTCAATGAAGATTTCTTTTTTTTTTTTTTTGTATTTTTCTTTTTTATCGGTACCGGGGATCGAACTCATGACTGTCTGCTTGCAAGGCAGGCCCTTATGCCGCTGATCTAAATCCCCAGCCCCTCAATGAAGATTTCTTAATGAAATCTAACAAACTATGTAACTCTGTGTGTGTGTGTGTGTGTGTGTGTTTGGTATTGGGGAATAGTCCAGAACCTTTACTTTGAGCTACATTCCAGTTCTTTTTTGTGGAGCTGTTTTCAGGTTTTTTGGGGTGTTTTGAGACAAGGTCTCACTATATAGTTCATGCTGGCTTTGAGCTCACTATGTAGGCCAGACTGGCCTTGAACTTGTGGGAATTCTCCTGCCTCAGCATCCTGAGTGCTGGGATTATAGGTATGTGCCACCAAACCTGGCCTATTTTTGTTTTTTAAGATAAGATCTCACTAAATTGCTCAGCTAGTCTCAAACTTTGGACACTGTACTTCAGCCTCTTGAGCTGCTGGGATTATCCTTGAACCTGGCACCCTTGAAAATTTTAAATTAACATTTAAAAATGAAGTGTATGTAATTGAAAAGGAATTTTTAGTGTACTGTAAATATCAATATTTTAACAACTTTTTGTTATAATATTCCTTAAAAAGCATCTGTTTTTGATTAATGGATAGAAAGTCAGATTTTTAAAACTCCCTTGAGAGTTTTAAAACTCCTGCTCTTTGTTCCTGGAGCGGGCAGTGAGTGGGTAATTATTTTTGCTCTGTTTGTCCTGGTGTCTTTCTGTTTCCCACAATGTCTTGGTCTCTCATCTGCATCAGAGACTTTTCTCTTATATGTGATGATCCAGAAATAATTGTTTAGATGAGACTAAGTGAAGAACCAGGAAGTTTTGTACATATAGGTGGGCTTGCTGATTTTCAACTCTTCAGTCATTTAGATGGGATCTCTGATGTCATTTACTTTGGGCCTTTCCTCTTCTGCTGCAGAAAAGACTATAAGAAGAAAGTTTGGCTGCTAATTTGGGAGAAAAATAAAAGAGAACAGGGGGGAAATTTTTATTCATCATTAAGTACAGTCCCACAATACCCATTTTTCGTTATTTCCAGCCTACTATTGGGACAAGAATGGGTAATTAGTGGGACAGATAGATAGGTAAGATACAGACACATAGATACAGATACATAGAACAGCTTTTTTTTTTTTTTGACAGGGGCTTGCTGTGTAATTGAGACTGGCCTTGAACTCACTGGCCCAGGCTGACCTCAAACTCATAGTGATCCTCCTGCCTCAGTCTCCTGGGTGCTAAGATTATATGTGTGGGACTGTAGAATAGCTTCTCTAGCCTGGCTAGAACAGTTTTTGAAACACGCTTTTTCACCTTAGCCCCCTCCTTTCATAGTTGGTACTGACAATTTCTGAGTCTTTTATGTTGTATATCAGGATGGCTTTCATCTCCACTGCCAGTGATGAGTTAGCCCTTTTGGGAGCCATTATCACTTCTTCATCTGCTTTTCAACTTTTACTTTACTTTTTTATTTTTGAGACAGGGTCTTGCTATGTAGTTCAGGCTGGCCTAGAACTCATGGTGATCCTCCTACTTCGGCCTCCTAAGTACTCCAGCTTTACTCAGCAGCACTTATGCCTGCCTGGCAAGCACAAGGTTCTGAATTCAATCCCTGGTACAAACAAAATGTAGAATGCCAAGTACTCCAGCTTTTAGATTTTTGCTATATTATTTTTCCTTTCTGATACCTTCATCCTTATATATTCACATTGTTTTAAAAAAATCTCTATTTTAGTTTCATTAGAATTTCAGGACAGAGCCAAAGTATGTCATTTTAACCTGAAACCTACAGTCATTTTAGTAGGAGGGTTTCCACTCTGCCAAAGTCTTTGGAATCTAAAGATGCACCAGATGCACACAGATGCACAGATGCCATACCAGATGCACACATTGCCATATGAGAAGGACCAAAACAGAAAAGGAACTGTATAATTTCTAGTTAACTTTAACCGGTAATAAAAGTAAACTCTGCTGGAGGGCTTAAAACTTACAATTAAAACTTTTTTTGCTGCTCAAATCTAGGATAAGCCTGATGAAATGATAACACATATATAAGTAATCAGGTATATTCATTATACAGTGATGGTTTTGCAGTAGACAAGACTGTTAAGGCTGATAATCCTCAACTATATCAACTCTTGCCTGGTGATTTTCCCCAGATTACAGAGCCAGTCCACTAAGTGCTTTTTTCTGCTGTTCCTTCTTAATCAGTCCTCGCACTTCACTGTCCCAATCACTGTTTCTAAAACCAAATTTAAAACTATTCTTTGCTGTCTCTGTTTTTAGCATAAGTCCTTTTCTCCTGTTATTTTCATTGCGTATTATTCCTTCCCTTGATATTTCTCACTGTTGGTATGTGAAAGCTCTGGCTTTTCTCTACCCTGGAAGATAATCCCATCAGTAATATGCAATTTTGTGCAGCGGTGCATCTTTTTCATTTCATTGATTTGTGCTGAGTATCTATGTCAAGACAAGTCCTGTCATAGGCATTAGTCATAAAACAATGAACAAAATAAAGCCTCTGCTAGTGGAGGAGATAGCAACAGTCAGATGGAGTGAGATATTCAACAAAAGGCTGAATCACAAAAAGGAACATGGTGGGATGGGGGCTTGTTATACGAAGTGATTAGAGAAGGCTTCTCTTAAAAGAAAGGGGGACATGTGTAAGAGAAATACGGATATTACAGCATGAGTATCCCAAACCGAAAGGAATAAGCATGAAGATGTGAGCAGTGAGCACAGTGCTGGGCTGAAGGAACAGCAAAGACACCAGGGGTGGGGGGATGGGCAGAAAATAAGCTTTGTTTCTCTCCAACTGGGTACTGCCTTTGGAATGGCTTACTCTTTGCAAGGTTTTAATCTTTTAAGTCTAAACAGACTCAGATTCTAACTTATTTGAAAGGTTGAGATTTAAGTCCAGTAAATAAGTGGGAATGTTACTGAATAAGGTAATCATTTGCTGCAATAAGCATTCTGGTTGAACATAGGCCTATAAACAATCTCAATTACAGATACAGTGTTTATTTTTTAGTCAGGGAAGACAGTACAGTGGCAAGGTTTAAGAACTAGAGTTGAATTTGAGTTCTGGCTCTATAATCATCTACTTTCAATGATCTTGAGCGAGAGTTTTTACTATACATAAACTTTTTATCCAATTTCATAATGTGAAAGTGGCATAGTGCTTATGGGAAAAAATACTGGAATCAGAAACCCTGAAGTAAATACCTTTGTTATTATGTATTAAATATGTGGCCTTAAACAAAAGTCTTATGTTCCTTATTTATAAAAAGAAAATAAAAATACCTACTTGATAACATTATAAAATTAAATGACATAATAACACGCAAAGAATTTCATACTACAATTTTTCTTTTTGATACTAGAGATTTAGCCTAAGTCCTCTGTATTGAGCTGCATCCAAATTATTTTTTGATGTACCATCTTGCTAAGTCACTAAGTTGCCTATACTAGACACCAACTTTCAATCTTTCTGCCTCAGCCTCAGAAAGTTGTAATTACAGAAATGAACTACTGTACATGGTGTAAGATACATATTTTAAGCTTTCCAAACTTATATTTTACTGAGTTTGTTTTTCATCAAGTGCTTTCAAAATTTATTTTTATCTTTTGATTTTACCTCTTTATTTGCACTCAAGAGTTGTATGCAAAATTTATCTTTCAAGTCAGCTCTCTATTTTTACCTATGTAAATTGTATATAGTGACTGTATCTTTTAAATTATACAGCAAAATTTAACTGATATAAGCAATTCAACTTGAAGTCCTTAAAAAGGATAAAAACTCTTATTTTCACTTTCACTTAATTGACTATTTTGTAATAGAAAGTATGAGCATCTACAGAAAAAGACTGAAAATAATAATTAACAATCATTATATATTCTTTAACAACTGTCAGTGACTTCTTAGTGTATGTGGGGCTATTTATTTTCTGAGTCTCTACTGCTTAGCTAAGTCACAGAGTGCTAAACGTAAATTTACAGTTTGTATATTATTAAATATTTTATATACCTTTTATGTTTTGATGACTGTACCAGAGGAAAGATTACTGTATATTTTAGTACTGTATTGCTATTCATTAGTGGCCTTATATTGCTGAGAAGTAATTTAAGATGGAATCTAAAAGAGGCCTTTAAAATATTCCTACTGGTCTTCAAAAGTACTTTACAAGAGATTTGACACAATGGAACTTACTCCATGCCCTGGGCAGTCTGCCGTGCAATATCTATAAGTTTGATCATCTCAAATTTGGTCTCGATGATGTGGAGATGGTGGTATAAGCTGGAGCCCTCACACCACTGGGTAACAATAGCTAGCTGTGGCTTTGTGGAATAGCCCATGAAGAGTAGGATATTCACATGTCGTGTTTTCCTGTACAAAGAAATGTGATAGCAAATAATAAATGTCAATAAACTTTAGCAATTCTTAAAAAAGAGAGACAAAGCAGTTTCTACCTATTAGAAATGTCAGAAAAAGGTATTAAGAATAATTAAATAAAGCAACAGAAGGATAAATTCAGAAGACCCCTAGTATTATCTAGCCTAATCTTCTTTCCTATCCTATTCAGAATAATCTTTTACTTTTTTAATTTATCTGAAAGTATAGCAGAGGTTGCTTAAATACCTTCAATGATGGGAAGCTCATCACTCAAGAATGGAGCTGTCCCTCAACTCTTTGCTTAAGTGGTTCTAATATTAGAAAATTTTCTTTGTGGAAACAAAATCATTTACCTCCAATCTTCACAACTGGCTTCCCTGTTCTTGTCTTTGTAATACAATAGCGTAACTTTGCCCCTTTTTAATATAACTGCCTTCTCTGGATTATACAGCCTCAATTTTGCTCATTATCTTCCTCAAACTCGTAAGTTACAGTTGTAGGATCCTCCCCATGTAGACTATCCTACCCTGGATCTACTCATTTATCAATGTTCCTCAAGTCCTAGGGGCCGTAACTAAATAGAATCTCTAAATGTGTACTGATACATTTACAATTTTGAGGGTACTATTTTAAAAGAACTATTATTACATGTCCAGAATACCTGCAATTTTGTTAATTCAGTCTAGAATTAAGTCTTCTATCAGCTGTATCATATGATATTGCATATTACTTAAAAGAATAGGGTTAAAAACAAAATATAATTAGACATACTATGCTTTTCTATACTTACTCATTTTGAGTAAATTTGTAAAGCCAATAAACTCCTGAAAAACAACTAATAACAACACCTTTTTCTGGGAAACAGTTAACCTGCATAGGCTCACCTGAGTACTCCTACTTCATTTTTGAAGGCCTGTAACTGTTGAGGTGTGGGTGCTGTCACATTCAACATTTTCACTGCCACGTCACCTAAAAGGTAAGTGTCATTTCAACTTTTTAAATTTAAAACTATGAATCACTTTATTATTTTCATTAATTATTGCAGCCCTAAATCCCATACCATTTTTAAATTGCAAATAAATTACATCTTAAGGATCAAAATTGCATTAGCATTCTAAGGATTAAAAATTAAACTAACAATACCAAACCAAAAAATAGTCAATCTTGTTTTTTTCCCTGGAAATTTAGTTTAACCTGTTAAGCACTCAAGAATATTTTCCCAATTATTTAATAATGAGATGCACTTATTAATTGAATGTTGAAACTAAAAATAAAAGGTCTTCCAATGGAATTTGGCTTAAAATAGAAGACTACACGCTTCTTTATCAGAGTAGTTAACATTTTTTCTTTGAATCTATGAACTACTCACGCTGTTTTTGATTAGGAAAATGGCTAAATTGTAACTAATTTAAAGAATGATTTCACATCAAACATCTATAACTCTTACACACTGCAGGTAGATGTGTAAACTGATATAATCACTTTGTAACACTGTTGACATTATCTATTGAACTGGACAGATGTGAATTGTGTGGTCCCACAATTGTCCTAGGTATACATCCACCAAAAACAGACACACGTGTTCCCTGAAAGATACATACTGAAAATATTCACAGAAACATCATTTAGAATAGTACTAAATTGGAAACTACCCAGTATTCATATTATGGTAGACAGAAGAAATCAGGGTATAGTCATGCAATGGAATACTCTACAGGGAACAAATGACTTCCAAATGACTAATAAATTACAGCCAACAATATAGGTGAATCTTACAATGCTGAATGAGAGGGGCCGGACTGAAAAGAGTCCATGCTACCTAATTCATGCTGAGGTCAGGATGTGGTTACTTCTGGGGGAAGAGTGACAGAAAGAAGGCATGAGGGTGGCTTCTAGAATGCCAGTGATGTTCTGTTTATTAATCACAGATTTGTTTACTTTGTGAGATTTTAGGTAGTTGTACATTTATAGATATATTTTAACATGTATACTATACTTTTATATCTACATTTTTAAATTTTTCTTAAATGTCGAAGTGTTCATTCTATTATCTGTGTCATAATTTGCCTATCACATTGCTATATATTGGCTAGGCTTGTTTATGTGTGCAATGTGAATACCTATGAATATGTATGAAAGGATAACCCAAAGTGACATATACTAAAATTCTCATAGCAATTTTTTTACATTATGTTGTATGTATTTTTATGTAACTCAGTAACGTGGGGTTTAATACATGTTGCTTTATACAATATACTAAAGATACCCTTCCATCCTAATAAATGTAGATTAATCTGTCCTCAATACACACAGTGTCAAACTGTTTTCCAGAAAGTTTGCAGCAATTTATTTTCCTACTACAGTGTAATATTCTCAATTCTAAATATGATCAATCTAAAAAAAATCTTTCTCCATTCGAGACAAACGATTTCTATTTTTTGAGTTTGGCATTCTTTGATTACTAGTAAGGCTGAACAATTTTTATATGTTTCCTGACCACTTTACAGTTTTTCCTTCGTTAAGTATGCTTCTAATATGCCCACTGTGATTTATTAACAGAAAAACTTCTACAAGAAAAAAGAAATCATTTTGGGGACCTTTGTCTTTAAAAATTACTACTAATAATATGAGTCCTGGTTGCTATGAACCCAGTTTCTAGTTCTCACAACATAAAATACTGCAGAACTCCTGCAACAGATTGAAAGTTTAATAACATAAACAGCTAGAAAGTACAAGTATCTTCTTTGATTCTGTTGAATATATCATATCACTATGCCTTGTGACGATGTCACATTACATACATACCATGCCACTTCCCCTTGTAGACTGTTCCAAATGACCCAGATCCAATTCTTTGTCCCACTGTAATCTGCCCATCAGGAATCTCCCAATCATCACTTGAGTCCCGTCTACCAAGCGTTTTCTTGATAAAATAGTCCAAGAGTCAAAGTCAAGACAAGCCAAATAAAGAGAGAAAACCTTATCTTTCATATTGAGTTTATTAACTTATGCTGAAAGGTACATCAGTCAGGAAGAGAACAAAGTTTGTTTAAAAAAAATTTTTTTAAAAAACACACTCTAAAGATATAATAATTAAAAGTATGTATAAAAATATAAAACTTAAGCTCATGACAAGTCAGTATTAGAATGAAAATAATTTATTAAAAATCAAAATTATTTAGTGAATATATACAGAAATGCATATTACTAAAATCAATTAAATAAATAGCTTTTTACCATTTGGAGGACTATCAGGAGCAAGGTAAGTCCAACATATGTGACTAGTTTTAGCTCAAAATTTCTCAAAATTTAAGTCAACATATTGTGGTTAACAACTGACTGCTTCTCTTGTTATCCTTTTCCAGTCCAGTCAGTGCTAAATATACTTATATAGATTATCTCATCTGGTCTTGCAAAAAAAAAAAAAAAAAAATCAATCCATGCAGTTACTTTGGTAAAGGATCTACTATTATCTATTCAACAGGTAGTAGAAAGTTAATTAGAGCTAAGAGCAAAAATGGATATTGGGGGAATTATGCTTTAAGTAAAACACTATCACCTCTTAAATTTATTTCATTATGGGACTTTTGCATCACATATAGACACAAAATATCTGAAAGGTGACTACTTTTTGACTGTGATTTCTAGAAAGAAAAAATGTAGAGAAAAAAGATATCAAATATTTTTACCATTCGATTTCTGTCTTCTGAGGATGAAGATGACTTCCTTTCTCGTTGAGGTCCTGGAGATTTCTGTAAGGCTTTCACATTAGTGAGTGAGCCAGGTAATGAGGCAGGTGGGGTGGCAGACAAACCTGTAGTTGATCCTAAATTAGAGAAAGGGAAAATGTATCCACTAAGGAGGAGCAAGCATATTCACTTATTAGGGGGCAGAAGGTAGGGAACATTCAGACTTATTTTTTAAATAAGTGCATGTTCAAAACTGACCTTTGGGAAAAGATAGAAAAAAAAGGCCTTTTAAAAATCAGAACTATATTTAGCTTTCTAGCCTATTTAATAACATTTAATGATAGATACATACTTTGTTTACTGGTGCAAAGTATAGAAAAAAACTGAAACAACTGACAGATACATACTAAAGAATATTCCCAAGGTTCTTTGTCTTTCATTAAAAAAGTCAAAAAAGCAAGATCAATTAAAAACTTACATAATAAGCTTTTTAATTATTTTACATTACTTCAGTAGCCAATCAATATTTTAAAAGATGGAAACCCCAAATGAATAATCCCTAATAATGCTTTAAATGTTGAAATATCTAATTCTTTCATATTAGTAACTAAATTTAAATATAATCCCAAAGTATAAGCTCTACTATTTAAAAGATTAGTGGTCAGTGGTTGCTGGAGGTTTTTTTGTACTAAGCATACATAGATGTCCAATTCTTGGTACCCAAAACAAAACAGAACAAAACAAAACAACTGTGCTTTGTAATGTAAGTGTTCTATAGCCTTGAAGGCAAGTTACTACAAATTCCAGTATTTAATAAGCAAGTGAGCCTGAGAGGTACTCTTTGGAAGTGGACTCAGTTGGCAAGACTGCAAATTTTCTGGTGAGTACATTTCTAAATGCTAACTCTGGCAAACATTCTAAGCTTACATACAGTAGCATCTACAGGAGCTCACAGGTAACTGTTAGTGGGGCCTGAGTATGGCTGAGTAGGACTGAGATTTTTCAGGTAATAGTTTCATACACAGAACATCAAGGGAAAACAAAGAGATTACTACTGTGTGTGTGTGTGTGTAAAGCCATGATCTTTTATAGAACAAGAATATCAAAGATAACATTTAAATGTTAAATCTGGGTAAAGTTTCATTATAACATCATACTAAACTACCATGTGAAATTTCTATGATCTCATATGCAGAAAATGGTGTCTGAAACGTCTTTAACTAGAATACAATCTATTTTCCATGTGCCATGGATAATTTTCAATATTATAGAGCCTTACTTGTTTATCCAGGGTCACAGTTATGATTACTAAGTAACGTATTATATTATGAAGATGAATTATAGTACTAAATGACTTCCACCTCATTCTATGGATTTTCAGAGTCACAGCTGGGTTGACAGAGTCAAAATGTAAAAATACCATTAATATATTCAGAGTATCAGTCACTAACTAGTAAAAGTTAGTAAATATAATTCTTTAAAGACATTTATACCAAGATACCTGTCCCAATTCTGACTCACAATTGTAAAAATCAGTTTAACTTCTCATTAAATACGAGAAGAAAAAAATGGGACAGTGAAATTATACTGATAACTTTTCCCTTGTTTTTGAAATAACTGAAATTATAAATCCTCAAAATTTCTGAAATAGCTAAAATAGCTTCTTATTTTTGATATGAAATATATACATCTCCTATCTCGGAAAAAAGTCAACCAATCAATCAAACAAAAAAATTTGCTGATAAAGAATCTTTAAAAAAAACCAAAAGCCTACTAAAAAATTCTAACAGGGGTTTCCATTTAAATTTTGTACTTGCTTAAAAGTTACAAAAACTGCTAACAAATATTAAGTCACCAATATTAGCATTCACATACAGATAAAACCAACAGAATCCTGATCACAGACTCTCCCCTCATGCCTAATTTATTCCCACCCACTGAGATGAAGACGTTATGAAGACCAAGAAGTAACAAGGTAACAAAAAAAAACAAGATGGAAATCTCAGCTTAGAATTTTCTTGCTTTTAAAATTTATGACAGACAGCACACAGAAAGCTTGCAGTAGTGGGTATGTGTGAGAAGCACATTCAGAGCATTCCAGCCAGGCCAAGCAGCGATTTAGTACAGAAAACTCTCACACTTACAATCACACGCTGTGAGGGTGAGGCACAAACAGCATCTGTAGTTTATATTTAGTTTGCTTTGGGTGAAAACAAGAAAGAAGAGCCCAACTACCTCTGAACACTGGGCCAGGCTCAAAATCAAACACTATTTCACTGGGGACAGAATGTAGGAGGGGACTGGGAGTCCGGGAGTGGTATTTCCGAAGACAGCGCATCAGCTGGTTCAAGGGGGCTGTTAGAAGAGAAAGAGGGGCAGGCAAACACAGGAAGACAGACACACAGAAGAAATGAAAGAAGTCACGGGGAATAAGTAAGATGAATTAAGCCCGCTTCACAAAATAACTCTGGTCATTTAAAAAAACTGCTATTTTTCATAAAATCCCAATGATTTTTTTTTTAAAGTGACTCATAAAAAGGACAAGAAATGCCCTTGATTTTAGTACTAAGCAGGCTGTTTTTATGATAAAGTTAACTCTATGATGCTAACATGATGGCAACATTTAAATGCTGGATGTACTGGGCAAAATTATTGAAAGCCACAGCTATAAAGACATAACAATGATCAAACTGGCAGCAACATTAACTGGTGGGTTCATGGAATAACAAACAGAAAAAACCCTTTGTGTAACTAAGTCCTATATTAGTTAATACTAAGTCCAGAGCATTTAATGCAGGCTTAGTCATTTTGGTATCTTCACACTTGTACAGAAATACAACAAAAGGTTATACAAGATTTGTTCAATATAAAAATATCTTGGAATCTGGCTTGGGGTATTTTGAAGACACAGACGATCACAGTGAAGAGACCAGCTCTAAGCACGATACACAGTTTTATTACAGGTCTTCTTTGTTAGGCAGAAGACAGCTGAGAAGGAAGGTATGGAAGACTTTCTTCCAGAAAATGCTAAGATAGTATTCAATATGACCTCTTAGAAAACACTGTGAAGGGTAAATTCTTAGAAAAAGTGTTTTCATAAGTGGTTTGTCTTTGCTAGAGTGAATGCTAAATGAAAATGTGTAAGAAATCGCAAGTCAATGTCTCATTTGCTCATTTTATTTACTAAACAAGAGGGCAACTGAATTTTTCTACTACACTTCATTCTATAAAATGTACATTTCCTACACTTTCAGAGTTGAAGGGAACTGATTGATAAAGTCTGATAAATTGAGAAGTTATGCCCCCTAAGAATGACTTTGCAAAGTTAAGTTTTATCTGATTATAAGCTCAATATTTAAATCTTAGTGGAGACCTCCAATACAAACTTAAGAAATCCAGCTTTGGAGATGGTAGAAATAAAGTGGATAAAATAAAGATCTCTCCTTGGTATAGTATTTTAAAATTATAGACTATATATTTAAGACTTTTATTTCCCTCGTTTTCTTTTTTTTTTTGAGACAGGGTCTCATTATGTAGTCCAGGCTGGCCTTAAACTCACTGTGTAGCCTGGGCTGGCCTCAAACTTTCAGTGATCCTCCTGCCTCAGCCTCCCAAGTGCTAGGATCACAGGCGTGCGCCACCACACCCGGCTTCCCCCTTTTTCTGTACTCACAAATCAGTAAACATTTTATTAGCAATAAATGCAAATACTACAAAAAAATTTAGATTTTTCTCTACACATTTTTCTCTGTGTCTGTTTCATGAAAGAAGCAAGTATAAAGGAGACAAGCAGCAAAGCAATTGCATTTTTCTTTGAGTTTCAAAAATAAAAAACTGAAATCACTACTTACCTCCATCACTACGAAACCCTTGGTCTCTAATCAAATCCTACAAATAAATGGTAAAGTATATTTATTCAAAGCATACAGTAAGAAAGAGACAGCAACACTGAATTTTCCACTATACGTTAATGGAAATACCTGTCTTAGCATTTCTTCCAAAGAGTATGATATTAGCCAACTAAATTTGGAGCTGAGGCAACACATGCCTATAGTATCAGCACTTAGGAGGCTGAGGCAGGAGGATTGTTGCAAGTTTGAGGCAAGTCTGAACTGCAGTTAAGGCCAGCCTGAACCACACAGTGATACTCTGTCTCAAACAAAACAAAACAACCCCCCAAACCCAAACAAACAAACAAACAAAACTAAATTTTGAAGTACTTGGCAACCTAACCTTATTCTGAAAGGATCATTCATTAGTCCAGATCAAACGTTGAAATTCATTTCAAGCCATTTAAAACCAATGGCTTCAGCAGTCCTTAAAGAAAACACTACTGGCACATATTAAGAGCCATAAAAATGTTCATGCACTTTCATTCTGTAATACCACTTCAAAGAACTTTTCCTAAGGAAATAATTCAGAAGAAAAAAAGTGATATGCACAATGATGTTCCAGGCAACATTATGCATCACACTAAAATATTAGAAATAATTGTTTCCCTATTATAGGCTTTTTGAGATATTATAGTTAAGTCAAGGTGTGCCAATTTAATGAAGTATATTATGCAGTCACCAAAAAATTCTCAAAGCTAAATCATGAAACATGTTTATAACAGAATTTAAAAAATACAAAATTAAAAGTATGCTGAATACCATCACAAAAATATGAGTGCACAAGGACACGCTAATCAAAACAGCTCAAATAAGGGCTTCATTAAAATTTGTCTTCATTATTAATATATAGCTTTAATAACAATGTTGGCAGTGGAGGAGTCTTTCCTGGTAATACAATTTGGATTTGGATAGGCAGAACTTTAGCAGGTATGTTTACTTGACTTGAATGTGTGGTACTGAATGGCCCCAAATGTATAAATGCCTCTAGGCTATTTGCAAACAGGAGTTTTTTTGTTTTTTAAAAACAGGATTTTGCCATGTAGTTGAGGCTGGCATTGAACTCACTCTGTAGCCCAGGCTGGCCTCAAAACTGCAGTAACCCTCCTGAGTACTAGAACTACAGGCAAGTAGCATGACTGCCTGGCCAAACAGACAGCTTTTAGCTTACTGGCTAAAATAAAGAGTACATACTTTACAAGTATATTTCTACCACATTCAATGTGTTACATAAGGACTTCTATATTTTTTACAGCATCAACAAATACTCATATAACTTCAAACAAAGTGGTAGGTATTAGTGGTTGTATGGCTACCAATAAGTACACAATTCTGTGGTTTTGAGTTTGCAATTTCATTTTAAAAAACAGCATAATTCATAATCTCGTCAAATATTTATGAAGATAACAAAATATGTCAATTTTTTTATGTTATTAAGTGATATTGGTGATAAGATTTTTTTTATTGCACCTCTCAGCATGATGGTGCATGCCTGCAATCTTACCTACCACTCGGGAGGCTAAAACAGGAGGATTGCTGCAAGTTTGAAGCCAGTCTACGCTATATAGAGTCCAGACCAGCCAGGACTACAAAGCAAGACCTTAACTCAAAAACAAAGCAAAACAAAGTGAAACAAAAGATTTTTTAATGGTTACCTATAATAAACTACAGAATTTGGTCATTGGTGAAGCAAAGAAATGTCTCAGATTGGAGTCTGAGGAACAGATAGGACTGTAGAAATGCAAATGACCCAGAATGGAAAGGTCATACATACTTTCTCTATTTTTGTCTTTTTCATTTTTATGGGTACCGGGGATCGAACTCATGACTGCCTGCTTGCAAGGCAGGTGCTTATGCATACATACTTTCTTTTTGCCATGCAAGATCTGAAACTCACAACACCCATGGACTGACAAAATTTGGCTTTCTTTATTGTTACAAGGTATTGCTAGTGACAACACATACATACATTTTAATCTCAAATGTGTTCTTAAAGCTTCTTGATAATCTTTTTACTTGTTCTAGGTCAAAAAAGATAACCTAGCATTTCAAAACTGGTTATTTCAAACTATTCCCCACTTTCTTGTATTCTTTTTCTTATATCCCTTCTGTTTAGCAGGACAGAGAGAACAAATTAAATAATGTTCAGTTCTACCTATCTACAAATATTTATACAGCAGTATTAGCTATAATTTCTGTATTGGTTGTAGCTTTTGTTCTGTACCTGACATAAAAGCATTTCAAATTGGGGGCTGGGGATTTAGCTCAGCTGCATAAGCGCCTGCCTTGCAAGCAGGCAGTCGCGAGTTCAATCCCCGGTACTGATAAAAAAAAAGGAAAAAAAAAAGCATTTCAAATCATTGTAAGAGGCAGACATCATCAGCTTCGGGGTTAAGTAATTTGCCCAACATCATAAAGTATGAAAAGAGCGAAGTCCATCTTTTAACTCCCATAACCTCAGAGGGACATCATTTCCAAGTTAAAAGAATTTTACTATACCAATTGTCCTCTGTTTTATTATCTTCAACTCCTCTTCACTGGTTTCTTCCTCTCTAGATACAAGTATCTTGAAGTCTCTTACATTAAAAAACAACCGCTCCTCAACCTTGCATCAAGCTATGGCTCTTCTGTCATGTGTTTTTTGTTTGTTTGCTGTCTTTTTGAGACAGGGTCTTGCTATGCAGTTCAGGATGGTCTTGAACTCACTTTGTAGCCCAAGTTGGCCTTGAACTTGCAAGGCCTCCTGTCTCAGTCTTCTGATTGCTGGGATTACAGGCGTGTGCCATCACGCCTGGCTCTTCTGTCATTCTTTTACAGAAAAGCTTCTATTCTATTTCCTTGCCTGCTTTCCTCTTCCCTAAAATGACTCTCCACCCTCTCGCCTACCCACTTCTGCCCTTGGGGGTAGAATTCTGTGACTTAAGAATGTTAGACAAGTACTCTATCATGGGAGCCATCCCCTGAGCCTAAAATAATATTTTAATTGCCAGAATCAATAGTTATTTCAGGGCTGGGGATTTAGCTCAGTGTTATAAGCACCTGCCTAGCAAGAGTGAAATCATGACTTCAATCCTCAGTAAAAAAAAAAAAAAATTGTTAGTCACTTTAGTCTCAATGACGTGACATCAATTGTCATGTGAAGCCCTTTTTTTCCCTGTGACCTCTGAAACACTACTTTGTCATTGCTATCTGGAGCTAGACTTAGAAGAACTCACGGGGAGACAGAGAACAACAATAGAACCTCAACTGTCAGTGTTCACCACATTGCACTTTCTTGCCTCCTTTCAATTTACATTTTTTCAGTAACATCATTTATATCTATGGCTTCAACTGACACAAATATGCCAATTTGCTTACAAATTTCTCATTTAAGGTCCTTAAATTCAACTGCTATTGGACTTTTAAAGCTGGAAGTCCCACAGGTTTTTGTTTTTTTTACCAGGGATCGAACTAATGACCTTATGCCCGCCAGGTAGGCGCTTATACCACTGAGCTAAATCCCCGGCCTCCCACAGATATGTTAAAGAACATATTTCCAAAATAAAAGCATTTTTGTTGAAATAAATACTGTTTAGGTATCTATGATCCGGAAATCTGAGCATCAAGGTGTACTCCTCTTCCATCACCTCTCACTACTACTGCACAGCATCAGGGGTAACCAAAACAAAGGGAAGCCAGGTTTTAATCACTGAAGCCCATTTTAATCTTTTATCACTACGTGGTTTTGGGTACATTTCTTAATTCTGTAATTTTTTTAACAGTAAAATAAACATAATAGCACTTGAATTTTTATAAGGCTTGGACAAGAAATTGTATTGGGGCCAGAGGTTTAGCTCAGTGGCATAAGCACCTGTCTTGCAAGCAGGCAGTTGTGAGTTCAATTCCCGGTACGGATAAAAAGGAAAAAGACAAAAAAAAAAAAAAAAAAAAAAAAAAAAAAAAAAAAAAAGAAAAAAAAAAAAAAAAGAAATTGTATTAAAGCACTTAGCATGCATAGTACCTGGCACAAAATAAGCACTCATAAATAGTAGCCACTTTTAAGATTCCTAAGCATTTTACCTCTAATTCACTAATTTACTGTCTATTCTTTTCAACTTATTAATTCTGTTGTACCACCAGTGTTACTACTAGAGTTTAAACTTTTATCTTCCATTACCTAGAATATTGCATAAGTCCAAAAACTAAATGTTTTTAGATGTGGTACCCATATGACCTATCCTCCGCGCTCCCACCAAACATTTTTCTAAAATACAGAGCTGACTTTTCTCACTCAGGTGTATTAGACTCCGTACTACTACTACTTTAAGAGACTTTAGAATAATACACAAAGCATTTCAGCCTGTACTTTAGCTAGTTTCATCTTCTGTCATTCACCAACCTTCTTCTGAACCCTAAACTCCTACAATATTGACTATCTATTACACCCATGTAAAGGCACTTCCGCGTCTATGTACTAGTTTTGTAACAAATAGTATTCTTTCCTAATTCCCTATCTAGTATATAAACACTCCTACTCATTTACCTTTTGCAGTCTGGCTTAATGTTATTCCTTCTGCAATATATTTCTAGAACCAATCAGGCTCTTTATTATCCCTTCTCTAAGCTACCATTCTATTTTTGAGATTATTTATATATCTGATCCATTCACTAAACTTTGCCTTCCCAAAGGGTCAAGATCATGTGCTAATTCATCCTTAATTTCTCAATGCTAGCCAACAGTCAAAAATAAATCTTTTTGGTAGAATAATGAGTGACTGAACATAAATGAAATGCTAAAGTTTAAGGGTTATCTTGTTATGAATGGTAAGTCATTGAAAGTTTTGGAACAATGGAATAGATGTTGTTAAAGATGTTATTATAAAATTATTTTGACAACAGCACAAAGAATGGAAATAGAAATCAATAGTGAAAACCACGTGTGTTGGTGTATGCTTGTAATTCCAGCACTTGGGAGGCTGAGGCAAGAGGATTGCTACAAGTTCCAGGTCAGCTGAGGCTACAAAGTGAGTTCAAGGCCAGAGTGGATTGCACACTGAGACCCTGTCTCAACCAACAAACAAACCAACAAACCAAAACAAACAAAAAATTCATAGTGAGAAAAGCATTTAGGAGATACATGTAGTAAGTAGTTCAAGTGAGGAAATGTGGGCTTAAATTAGTGTAGTGATAAACATGAACCAGTATGAAATACACAGGAAAAGGAAAAGATGCTGTTTGGGCACAAGAAGGATGGAAAGACAAGGTACAAAGTGGTATTTTAAAAGTTCAAGCTTAAGAGACCAGGAGAACAGTGGTCACAATCAAAGAAAAAAGAGAATAGTTTAAAAGGCTGTTACTTTCGAAAGTAAAGATGAAGGTTACGCTTTTGGATGTACTGAGACCAGACCTCACCTAAAAATATGGTTGAGTTCTTAGTATTTCACTACCTTTTTATTTCTGTATTTGTTTTTTCCACTTTTTTAATTCCTTTGTACTTGAAGAACCCTATTAGTCAAGGAAAACTGGTACCAGGAAAAAGCTACTTAAAGGAATTGCCTCCCCAAAAGGGAAAATGTTTCACAGTAGAACAACGGGAATGAAGTCTAATTTTGGAATTTATGTTGAAAAATAAAATTTATAATAAAGTTTTTCTTTTATATTCAATAAAATTTAAGTTATACCTTCAACCACATGCTAATTCTTAAACACAGAAGCATGCTTTTATTGGCTTATGACACTAAAAACTGAAATTCTTAATTTCGTATTGATTTTTGATATTTGATAGCACCTCATAACACGTTTCAGAGGACATCATCGGTTCCCCTGAAGATTTCTATCAATCCTTTAGATTTTTAAACCATTTTCTTTTGAAGATAAAACTTTTAGAGATGGTGTTATAAGAAAAAAACTGAAATAACCCTGTAATTTGGTGCCAGTAAAGTATTTATCAGAGAAGACTAAAAGTTTTTCTGATCTGAGATTCATAGAAACCCTAGTTTTAAACTAACTATGATGAATGAAAAATGGCACTTCTTTCTGACTTGTAATGGAAAAAATAAATTTAAAAGATAGACAGATAGATAGACAGATAGAAAAGACATCTAGATATTTTTAGTAGTAGCCACACTAGATACTTACATCAATATTGACAGGTTCTATTGTGTTTATATGCACATTGGGAGCAGATGAGGACCGGTCTCGCTGCCCAAATTGATTTCGATGATCTTCCTCTCCTGGCCGGAAAGGCTGTGGAATTGGAATGGATTTTGAAGGAGATGGGCTGGTGAGAATTGGGGGCCTGGAAAAATCAAGTTATTAGAAGGTAAGATTCAGAGAGACTATATACATTGAGATAATAAATATTTAAAGTGGAAGATTTTCCTGCTTAATATAAATCATTAAAGTAAAGCAGTATTAAGACTGATTTAAATTCTGCTATTGCCCTAAATCCTAACAATAACCTTGTAAGGAGTTTAGCAGTCAGTGCACTTTCCAAAACATTTTAATCTCACCCAGAATTCCTTAGCAAAGGGCACATATTTGACTACCTAATGTAAGAATAAAGACAGCTCTATCAGAATGTAAGAATTTCTCAATAACCACGAAACAGGGTGAAACTGAGGAAGCTGTGAGGCAGGAGGGTCACTGTGAGTTTGGGGCCAGCCGATCTACACAATGAGACCCTGTCTTAAAACAATAGAACAGAACAGAACAGAATAGAATAGAATAGATTTTATGCTAATTTTCCCAAAGACAAGTTACCCGAAATTCTAATTGGAATGATACAGACTTTTACTTTTAGTACATACTTTTTATTTGCATATCAATTGTAAATTGATTCATGTAGTTAAATGAATGCCTACAGTCAAAATTGCCTCCCCCTTTGCTTCAAGTGTTCAGAGAAGTAAAATTATAAACTGGTGTATGGTTCACATAGTGTTGACATGCTTTATTCAGTGACGTTTTGTCACTGTTGAGCTTGCTTTGTTCTTCAAACTTTAACCCACTTCTTTTTCTACTATATATTCCTACCATTCCTATCCAGATCTTCACCCCTCACAAATGTCTTTTTATTTGCTCAACATTATCTTTGCTATATAAAAAGCATCGGTTTAATAAAATAACTTATCTACAACAACTCCTGACAAAGCTGCTTTGCTCAATCAAGCAGAGCCTGCGGGACTATCAGTGATAAGAACACTGATTCTTACCCACAAAACTTCAAGGAATTTCTACATACACACACCTAGAAATTACCTGTGGCTAGTCAGCTGAGGACACTCTTATCCTTTAAAATATACAAAAGGATCTATGTAGAGACTAACTGAATAAAATCGGCTATTTTTTTTCTAACTTTGTCATTTCTTGATATCAGAGGTTACTGCAATAAACATTTTATGGAATGTATTATAAGTATTATGAGACAATATCATTAAAGTAAAACTGGAAAAGGCCTGAATGAATTAGAATTATATAAGACAACTAATAATAATAAGTCTAGTGCAGACAGAAGTGGTAGAAAGTTATTCCTTAGGACGATGACAGAACAGCAAATTGGAACTCCATGCGTAACAGAGGTTGACCCAGAAGCAAGAAAATCATTCAGTGTGATGAATCTCATTATTATAGCTACAGAAAAGATTGGATATATAGTACCAGAAAATGATTTCTGCCTATTACACAAAATCAGAGACTAATACCACCTGGTGGGAAAGGTGTGGCTTGACCCACAGTGTCAATTTATTCAGCAATAAGGGAAAATATAAATAACAATTCTGAAGAACACTTTGAGTTATCAGGACTCTGGTGTATTAAATATATGAACCATGTCCTAATTCCATGCTTACTAACAGCAGTGTTCTGATTATAATAATTTGGTTTCCCATCACTATTTTCCAAAAAATGTGCTGACCCATTTAACGTAAGACCTCTGGCTTATGTAATAGGTATAGTTTTCATTGACATCAATTACTTGGTATTCTGATTTAATCTGTTTTGATTTTTGTTTAAGGCAAATTTATTTAATTACTAATTCTCATAATTTCTGGGAACAGATAAAATTGAGTTTCCACTATGTAAAATTTTTACCAGGACTAAGGCAATTTATAGTCTGCAAAGTAACTTGGCAGTCAGTCTCTGGTACCTTTGGTGAGATAAATTTTTAAGGATCCTAGGCAAGTGTTTTCAAATTGGCACCAAATTAAAAATAAAAAGAATCTTTAATCTCTTCAGTAAATTACTATTAATTTAGATCTCACTTTTAAACTAGAATATTTCAAACTTTTAAAGTAAAGTGATTACTTTTGTTCAGTGACATGCAAATTTTAAATGATTTGTTCTAAATGCATACTTTCTAGCATTTTTAAAAAGTAAAAAAGGAAGTATCTCTTACTTTGAATTCAAAATCAGCATTATATTAAATCTCCAAAATTTTTTGTTACACCCATTAGGATTATTTATATCATGATTATTATAATTTTTATCAGGATTAGTAATAAAATACAAAGTTTTGATTTTTTTTGTGTGTGTGTGTGCAGGGGATCAAACTCATGACCTCATGCCTGCCAGGCAGGTGCTTACACCACTGAGCTAAATCCCCAGCCCTAAGCAGTTTTGATATTGAATGCGACTGATTCTATATGTCTGTCTGTTATGGAAGATGAACCCAGGGCTGTTAAACTAGACTAGATCCTCAATAATTATTCTATTCTATTCTATTAATTTTGACAGGGTCTTGTTCAATTGCCAAGGCTGAACTTGAACTTATGACCCTTCTGCTGCAGCCTCCCAGAAAGCTGGGATTATAGACATGCAATATCATGCATGGCTTGAACATGACTGACTTCTATTATTACAGAGATAATCATATACACTCTGACATAAAAGCATCAGGAAATCAGGATATGGTGGTATAATTCCAGCACTTGGGAGGCTGAGGCAAAAGAACTGCTGTGAGTTTGAGGTCAGCTCAGGCTACAGAGTAAGCTCAAGGCCAAGCTGAACTACATAGAAAAACCCGGGTCTCAAAAACCCAACACAACCCAAAACAAAAACTCTGATCTAGGTTAGTTATGACTAAAACTCATGACAAATGGTTTCTTAGGTAATATTTCTTGACTGGAAGGTATATCTTACACCCTCTTTTTATACCCTCTAGATCGGCCAAGATAATTTCACCATAGTGTTCTGTAACTCTTCTCAGCGAACCCACCATTAGAAAGGGACTATGGTCTACAGAGTCTATCAAGAGAAAAATGTCACAGCCAAAGGATTAATTAAAAACCAAAACAAACATAGTAACATGTTTATTTGATTGCCTAGAAAACACACAACTACACACAACTGATGATACAGCTAGCAAGAACAAAATGACCAGTAGAGGAGATAACGGTTATATTCTGAGAAAAGATGTAGTGGTTGCATTTCTGTTTATTTTTTGAGACAGGGTTTTGCCATGTAGTTCAGGCTGAAATTCACTGTGTAGCCCAGATTGGTCTCGAACTTTCAGTGATCCTCCTCCTGCCTCAGCCCCCTGAGGGTTGGGATTGCAGTTGTGCACTACCATGTCTAGCTTTTATTTTTTGTTTTTCACTATTCTTTAATATAAAAGTCTTCTGTTAACTTTTTTAACCTGTGAGATCTTCAGGAACATTGGCATCACAAAAATTACAGGTCCATGAAAAGTGTCAATTTCTCTTCTAGGATTACATTGTGAAGAGCAGAAGGAAGCAGTGTGAAAACTGACAATAAGAAGTTCTGAAATAAATATTGCTGAAACATTTTTAATCATAAGATTCAAGACATAACATAAATCATAGTGCTTCGAATAGAGTTAGGAAAAAGCAGATCAGTGTAAGCAATTCTCCAAACTAGTAGCACTCCAAACACCAAACAAAGTAGAACTTAACTCATCACTAAGGATCCCTTTTCCTCCTACCTTGCAGCTGAAATACATGATGATTTTGCAATGCCTGTAAAGTCACTGCTTAATCCTCTAATTATGAACACCTGTTCCTCTCTGCACTGCCACTACTCCAGATTGGGACCTCACTGTCTGCCAGTCTTCATAACATTGCCACCTCTCACTTAAGACTTTGCGCCTATAAATCTGTAGTTCACTGTTATATGGTTCTTTCTTTTTTTCTTTTTTTGGTCTTTTTGAGACAGGGTCTCACTATGCAGTTCAGGCTGGACTTGAGCTCACTTTGTAGCACAGGTTGGCCTTGAACTTGCAATGATCCTCCTGCTTCAACCTCCCAAGTGCTGGGATTACAGGTTATTTCTTTAAAATCATTTTCATCAGGCTACTTAATCTGCTTAAAAACCTTTAATTTTTCCACCCTTGTACAAAAAAAATTCTAATACTCTCTGTAACTAAGCTTTACACATGGCACTTCTGAATTCCTACAAGCCTCTCTTTTTTTGGGGTAATGGGAATTGAACTCAGGACCTCGTGCTTGCCAGGGAGGCACTGTGCCATGAACTATATCCCTGGCACAACAAGCCTTTCTCCACTAGCTCTTTATTTATGTCACTTTTCCATCTTTAATCGTTCACACTTTCATATCCTATGTTCACTCAGATTTTAGTTCAGTTCAGATCCCATCTTTTCCACTGTTTTCATGCTTTTTTTCTCTATTTCTTATAAAAATAAAAATTTATAACCTCATCACATAATGCACTACATAAATTATAGCTTATAATTGTAAAGTTTAAAAAATTATTTATAGTCGTTTCCTATGTTCATGCTACTTTTACAAATGGAAGTCACATACTTCTATATCTAATATTATCTAATAAATGATAAACATAAAGTAGTGAGTCAGAATCATATGTTGTTTGAATTTTTTCAGAACTGTTCCTGAAAAGTCTATGCTTTTTGGGGGTGGGGGGCATGTACTGGGAGTTGAATTCATGACCTCACGCTTGCCAGGCAGACACTGTGCCACTGAGCTATATTCCCAACCCCTAGTATATGCTATTTTAATCCCATTTCTGTACCATATACATGTAAATGTCTGAAGTATGTGATAAACTATTTTGGAAAAAAATGCTTAATTTAACAATTCAACTGTTGGGAAGGTTTTCAAATTAACCAAAAGTAAGCAGTTCGAATAGCATATTACTCTACAGCAGGAGTGAAACCATACCCAATGGACTCTGAGGGGGGTGCAGAAGGGGATGATCCAGATGTAAGGGTGGTCTCTGCTAAGGAAGCCTCCTCCTGTGGTATTGGGTGGTGTTCAAAGAACTTGGAGACAAACAGCAAACTGTGAGGCAAAAACAAAACAAAACAAAACAAACCTAACTTGTGTAAAACCCAGAAGCGTCAGTATGACAGAATACATAGTTAATGGAAAAGTAAGGGGTCAAATTTCATTTCCAGAAACAATTGTTAAAACTCGATTAGTTGTATTTTTGTTTAAAGACTTATTAAATCAATTATATTGTACTTTCAAGGCAAGCTCAAACTCTGAAGCTAATTGTTCTCTAGTAAATGTCTACATATTAAGGGGGAAAATCGTGCTTCATGGTTAAAGCATTAGAAGAAGTTAGATTGTTAAGTTAGATCACATCATTATAATTTACTTTAAAGTAGAGAGTTAAATTCTATTTGCTCAAGTAATCAGGAAAAATAAAAAGATCTTAAGAGTAGCAACAATAACATTGACAGAAAAAGAGATTATGACAGCCTCAGTGTAATCTATTAGGAAAACTGGTTTAAAACAAAAAAAAAATTTATAAAGAAACTGAGTACTAAGATTTTATATCTTACTCTCATCTAAACTGAAGGAAGAGGGCTAAAGATGTGTGTGAAGGGAAGATAAACATAATTTACAAAATAACAGGCAGAATCAGACACCCTCATCCACAGCCTAAAATATAGAATAGTCCACTTAATTGAAGTGGACTCTCCTTTTAAAAAGTATCCCAAAGTTATTTCTACTAGGTGTTCTTATTAATTCAAGAAGATCCAAAATATAAATTAAATGTATAGCTGGACTGGAATTACACTTTGGGAGAGAAATGCTGGCTGGACTAGATATTATTATCTGGCCACAGTTTTAAAACTTCTCTGTAACATCTATACTGAAGAAGAAACTTGCTTACTTACAGGACATACTGGTTTCACACTATGAAAGTTTAACTGTAAAATGATTGAAAAGAGGTATTTCTGGACTACTTACTCAAGTTGGTCATAATTAACACACATCACAGGAACCTCTGTACTACAGCGCTGGTGAAATTTATAACCACATGTTTGACAGCGGAAACCCTGGAACAATAGCTTTCGACAAAAGTCACAAAATGCTAAGGTGAAAAAAGTTTTCCGTACCTGCAAAGCAAAATCATCAAAAAGGGTTTCAAAAGTGTGCAAGAATCTCTGAAAATCAACACATTTACTCTCTTGTTTAAATTACAATTTTAAATATATTTATCATAGAACTCACGTAGTACAATACCAAAAAGAGCACTAGAGACTCACGATAGTAGACAGGCTGTCCATTTTTATATCCAAATTAAAAACTTGCTAGTCAAGTTGAAAGACAAAGACTAGGACTTCCGGGAGAATATGGCGGACAGATAACAGCAACTACCGGAGGCTCTCTGAAAAACTAGGCTCAGAAGCCAGGTATGGTGCGGACTAAAGAGACATAAGCAGGTGGAGTTATGCTCTGCTGACTCAGGAACGAACTCGGCTGAGAGAAACCAACTTGGAATGCAGTCCTGGTGCTAAAACAGGAACAGAAAAGCCTCGCTGCTGAGGCTGGACCCCGCGCCATTGGAAGCCGCGATCTGGGTTTCCCGCCGCGCAGTGGCTGGCTGCCTCTACATCAGCTCGGCAAGGAGAGAGACGCACGGAAACTCTGAGAACGGGAGTCTGCGAACGGAGTCGAAAACAGGACGGGCAGGGAGGCATGTTCTGACTTGTGGCGAGGTGAGTGAGAGAAACTGACACTCCACCACAGTTTGACTCCAGTGGACTTTCTGGGCCCGAGCAGTCCTGCGGGAGCAGGGCGCAGTGGCGACTCCAGCCACACATTCCCCTCTCGGGCGGGATTGGTGAAAAGTGCCTGGCCTGCATGACGCTGCCGGCGGACCCCGTAGGCTGGCCCAACTCAGATCCCAGAGCCCGACGGAGGCCGGGTGGGGCGGCCCCGGCGTAGGCTGCCTGGTGCGCAGCGGTGAGTGGGAACACCTAACCGGCGCAATTCTATCAGGCTGTGGCTGACAGGGAGAGAAGCTGGGCCTCTCATATAAGCTTGCATATATAAGGAACAGAGAATATGGGAAGAGGCAGCAACAAGAAAGGCTCCTCGGCCCCCAATTCTGAGAAACAGGCAATAGCGGACACCGCACCAATAGACATAAAGCGCCATATAGAGAGCCTCATAGACCAATTCAGGAATGAAGTTATCAACGACCTGAAGCTAGAAGTATGCAAAATAGTTAGAGAAATGCTAAGCACCACCCAAGAAAAAACAAATGGTGGAATGGAAGAACAGAAAAAGAGGGGAGAATTGTTTGATGGAGAAAACAGGGAAAGCATAGAATACGTGAAGCAGGTTCAAAGGCACTACCAAGAAACTAAGAAGGCTATCGAAGACTGGCATAACAGCTTGAAAGAAACTAAGGACAGACTATCTGAACTGGAGGGCAGACTTGTAATATGGGAGAATGTAATGAAAAACTTCTTAAAAATAACAAAGAAACAAACAGCAATAATACAAAGACAAGAAGATGATAAGAGGATCCATAACTTAAGGATTAAGAACATAAAAGAAGAAGTAGGGACACAAACAAATGAACTACAAAAGCTACTCACAGAAATAATCCAGGAGAATTTTCCTAATTTAGCAAAAGGTAAAGATACTCAGATGTATGAGGCATACAGGACCCGAGCTACCTACAACCCAAACAGAGCAACACCCAGGCATATAATAATAAAAATTCCAGAAATTCAATACAAGAACAGAATATTAAAAGCTGTCAGAGACAAGAAACAGACCACTTACAAGGGAGCACCCATCAGAATTACAGCAGATTTCTCTGCACAAACTATCAAATCACGAAGAGCATGGGGGGAAATAATTCAAGCTTTGAAAGATAATAATCTCCAGCCAAGATTGAGATATCCTGCATAACTGTCCCTAGAAATTGATGGAAAAACAAGGTGATTCCAGGATAAAGAGGAACTGGGGGAATTTGCAACCACCAATTCAACTCTACAGAGATTATTGCAGGATATTCTAAAAAAAAGAAAAATACAAAGAATCCAGAAATAGTGGAGGCCACAACGAATGGAGCAGAGAACAAAGTGAAGAAGACAAACTGACAGCTACTGACAGAGTAAGAGCTCAACAGAAATGAGGCAGAGAAGATTGAATGATAGGGACAGCTATTTTGGAGAAAATGACATCTTAATAGGTAATACTGATTTAGTATCATCTTGTTTTGAAGTCTCATCTAGCTTTTGTCCTTCTGTCTCCAATGGTCCAAATAGGTTGTATCTTACTGGATTTTATTATGTACGACAGTATAAGCAAAAACCTTTTAAAGACAAGGAGATTATACAGAAACCATTGTTCATTTTCTGTTAGTCGATTCTAAATACTCTGTAATGCTGTCATTCTCTTAAATGGTTTTACATTGTTTTGATATACTTAATGCTACAGTATACGAAGTTGTACTCAAGGATTTCAAGGAAAGAGACAATATGGTAACTACTTTTAGGTCAGGATTATCTGGTGGTGAAACACTATTCTGCTTAAATGGTTATGTTTTGATCTGTGCTGTTTCGTTGTTATGCCCTCTTTTATCTCAATCTCCACTCCATTATTTACTTTTTTATTTTTATCCTTTTAATTAAAGGAAAAAAAATAGCAGGATATATTATAGTAACCCACTTTGACTTTCCATTACCTCGATTTAAAGCCCTGTATTACTCTCACCATCTGGTTTTTAACTGATGTTCCCCTATTCTGTTTTGCTGGATAGTACCAGGTTCGAAAATTTAGGTATCAGCTGTGAAGATAATGAGATTCATTATAACGCCCATTCTCATTGACTATTATCTACTTTTGAAGACCTACAATGTCTCCAATGTTTTGGTTTTGTCGGTTTTATTCTTTACTGTTTTGTTCAATTGTATTATAACTAACGATATAGGCAATTCTATTAGAGATAGCGGGAGGCATTATGGTAACCATTGTTGATCACCTTGTATTATGTTTTCACATTATCTATTATGTCCACCCTTTTGACTTGACCGATTCTGTTCTGTTATGTCACATTTGGTTTTACTCTCTTCCAAAAAAGTAATAAGAACCGTGGGAGCAATAAAACCCAAAATGTGTAATAGTCATTGTACAAAAGAGAGGAAAAGAAAGTGCTCTAAACTATATAACTGCATGTATATTTAAGTGTATAAGATAGAAAATGATATCACAGAGTTTTATTGGATCATTGAACAGAACTGTTTGCAGTATCATTGATGGAATGTCCACTTTACAAGCTTTAATTTTGTGACTTGAACAATTATTTCTAAGATGACAATATGTAATCCATTAACTAGTGATTTCCTACTGTTCATTTTTTTTCTGCAAATCTGTATAACTTGTACCCTTTCTCTGCTTTTTTTTCCTTTTCTCCTTAAATAAAATAAAAAAAAATAAATTACGAAAGACAAAGACTAGCAACTGACTTCAAGCTAGAAAACATAAAAGCAGAAAAGAAAGGAATACACGGGGGAAGGAAGATGAAAAATAGGGAATGATTTAATTTATTGTATAATAAGGAATAATTGGCACTGGTGGAACAAGAAATAAAGATACACTTGTATTATTCATGAGCTGGGCATAGTGGTGTATGCCTGTAATCCCAGCACACAGAAGGCTGAGACAGGAGGATCAGTGTGAGTTCAGGGTCAGCCTGGGGCATAAAGTTGGTTCAAGGTCAGCCTGAACTGCAAAGCCAGACACTCTTATGAAGACAAAAAAAAAGAGTTATGAAGGTCTCCAACAGATGGCTTTCAGTCAAGCCAAGTGTGATAGCACATGCCTATAATCCCAGCACTCTTCTGGGAGGCTTGAGGCAGGAGGATTGCAAGTCTGACACCAACCTGAGAAACTTAGTGACTTAGCAAGCCACTGTCTCAAAATAAAAAATTTCTAAGAGGATGAAGATGTAGCTTAGTGTGAAGGCTCTGCACTCAACCCCCAGTAACATAAATATAGAAATAAAAAAAATTGGTAGGGAAGGGTTTTAATGCTACAAATAAGAAAGATTCTTCAAGGAATCCATAATCAATATTGGATGACTAAAGTTGACAAAGCAAGAAATTTTAGGGAAAATACATTGGGAGGCTGAGGCAGGAGGATCACTATGAGTAAACCAACCTGAATTATACAGAGTCCCTGTCTCAGAAAGAAAGAAAGAAAGAAAGAAAGAAAGAAAGAAAGGTGACAGAATCAAAAACCCTCATCTGTGGTCCAAAAATATAATGGTTCACAATTGAAACGACACTCCTTCCAAAAATTATCCAAATGTAACTTTGCTAAGTGGAGGATCGTTATTAATTAAAAGAGAATCTCCATATTAAATGCATAGCTGAACCAGAACTATAGTTATGAAGAGCAATGATGGCTATACTGCGTTGCTTTCTAACTGTAACTGTAAAAACTTTTAACGTACTAGACAGAACTCATTACCAGACTTGAAAAATATTTATTTCATATTATCAAAATTTAATTGTAAAATGGTAAAGAGAAGAGTTTATTATTTCTTCAAGTTGGTTATAAAACACAGTATTAGAAGGGGCTGGGGATTTAGCTCAGCGGCGTAAGTGCCTGCCTTGCAAGCAGGCAGTCATGAGTTCGATCCCTGGTACCGGTAAAAATACAAAAATACAAAACAAAAACAAAACAACAACAACAAAAAAAACCCCACAGTATTAGAAACAATACTGGTAAAATTTATAATCAGCATTAGAACCAGCAGGGATGGTACAATAGATAATTATTCATTATAAATTCCTCTGTACTATTTTTTAAAAGCATTTCTGAACTATTTGGATAAACTATAAAAATATTTATAGAAAGTAAGACTAATAAGTAATTGTATGAAAATCAGAACAGGAATACTAGGATAAGGGAAAGAAAAATCATCTGAAGACAATAAAAGCTACTTTTAACAAAATATCAATTTTGTTAGAGGATCAGAATATCCAGGCTGGGCTAGGGATTTAGCTCAGCAGCCTAAGTGCCTGCCTGACAAGTGCAAGGTTGTAAGTTTGATCCCCGGTACAACAACAACAACAACAACAAAAAAGAATATTCAGAATATCAAACCTTATTCGTTAACATCTATGTGAAACTTAAAAGACAACCCGTAAAATTTCCATGTCAAAGACAAATGATCATATAAACTGAACTATGCAGAGAGACTCTATCTAACCAAACCCAGAAAGTATTTAAAATGTACTTGTTCTGGAGAAAGAAAGAAATTTAATACGCAGAACAATGTAAGACAGCGAATAAAGAAATACCAAACTCTTAATGGTGGTTATTTTTTTAGTGTTGAGGAGACAACTGTCTTCAACTTCAAATCAACTGATTTCTGTTTCATTCTTTGTTGTATAATCTCAATCATCTCAATTTTTCAAAGATTCAATCACAAACAGTAGTCATAAATAAATATATTTTAGGGCCCTGGATATAGATCCGTGGCACAAGTGCCTGCCTGGCAAGTGTGAGGTCATGAGTTCAATCTCCAGTACAAAAAAACCCCACCAAAAACCATATATCCCAATATACTTGTATTTATAACATTTACCCCAATTATATTAATGGACATTAGAATTTTCTAACCTGTTCTATTACATGGACATGTTTTTCATGAAACAAGAAATTGATTTAAACACCAAAACTCTACTTTCATCACACATATTTAACAGAAAAAAGCAGTTACTAAAAATGTTTCATCAAGAAAATTACATCCTGACAGTGCATTCTGCCTTTTTTCAGTATATTTATGTAGCTTTTAAGTGGTATTTTTCTTCTCCCTTTTTTCTATGTATCACTTTCAGGGTACACGAAAAAGGCAAATGCTCGTCTTCTTTTCCTTTTCCACTTGTCTCTGATTGTATAAGAAATGAAAAAATACCTTCTTTAATATTTTTATGTGGCTGCCACCAAACCACATATTTTTTACACTGCTAGCAGAATCTCAGGAAACAGCAAAGAAAGACATAAAATGGAGCTAGGTATGGAGGCATGCACCTGTAATCCCAGCACTAGGGAGGCTGAGAAAGGAGGGACTGCTGTGAGTTTGAGGCCTGCCTGGGCTATAGAAGTAAGTTCAAGGCCAGTCAGAGCTACATAGCAAGACCTTGTCTCAAAAAACAAACAAAAAAGCCATAGCATGTTTTCACAGGTTTCTATTTCTCATTCATCTTGTCTTCTCCTACCCTATTTGTACTCTCTTAATAACTGCTTCAGCTGCAGGAAGCCCTCAATTTCTCTTTCTTAATTTACTCAACTGCCTGCCTTCCCTGCCACTGACCTGTGTTTTAAAACTATGTGTAGCTTGTTGGGCACCGACATAACAGAGAAAAGAGAGAACAGGAATAGGGGAAAACATACAGAAGCAGAGAAAAGAGCAAAACTTCTGAGGGGGAGAAAATATGTGGGTACGCATTGCATTTGAGTATAAATTTGAAATAACATATACTTTACAGGATACATTTGTCAGTAAAGGTATGCCTAGAAGTTATGTTTAGCCTAGAACTTGAGTATATCTAAACATGTGGAGTAAAATACAGGGAAACTCCATGTTGGTGGCACTTAGCTTATGCGAGGTTCTACCAAATGAAAACCCAGCTACTCTCTGTTCGTTCTTCCATCACCCTATGCTTCAGAAACACACACAAGTGTGTCGGTATGTATGCAGAAAGATTCTGCTTAGTTCTATAGCAACAGATTTATAAAAAAAATATTTAAAATAATTAATATATCACATCTCTCCCCCTTTTGTTTTGTACCAGGAATTTAACTCGCAACCTCACCTGCCAAGCAGGTGCTGTGCTGTTGAGCTACATCCCCAACTTTCTCTCTCTCCTTTCCTCCCTCCCTCCCTCTCCCTTTCTCTCTTTGGTTTTTCAAGACAGAATTCTTACTATGTGTGGTTCAGGCTACCTCAAACTCAAGGCAATCCCCCTATCTCAGCCTCCTAGGTGCTGAGATTACAGGTGTGTGCCCATTTTTTTTCCTATTCTTTTTTTTTGTACCAGGGATCAAACTCACGACTGTGTGCTTGCAAGGCAGGCACTTATGATGCTGAGCTAAATCCCCAGCTTTCCTATTCTTTTATAACAGGCTAACTTAATTAGTCAGATGTACTGACAGGATGAAGCCCGTGATATCAGAAAGTGTGGAATATCACACAATATGACTCACTTTTTCCCTTAAGGGAAAGGAATGGAAAAATAATGGAAGGAAGAAAGAAAAGACAAAAAGAAGAAAACTGAATTTATAGGTACAAGTATAAGTTTGCGTATACCAAAAAAAAAAAAAGTCTATAAAATTAAAAAAAAAAAAGTCTGAAAGACTAATCTATTAACCTATACAAATGGTGACCGCTAAGCAAGGAAATTTTTTTTTACTTGATATACTTTTATACCATTCCAATTTGTCTTCTTTTAATAACAGATATGTATTGATCTTTTTAAGTTAGAAAGAAAATATAAGGATTAAAACTCTTTAAGTAAAAGATTATAAAGAACAAAATTAATTTTCAACTCAGGTAGAATGTCAACTGCAAAATTATTCATCTGTATTTCAAGATCTGTAAATAAAAATACATTCATGAAAACATGAACATTTTTGACATTACAAAAATATAAAGATACATACAAAATTGTGTGTTGTAAGTGGAACATTCTCCAATACTTCTACATGTAATTCTTCCCCAGTAAGCCAGGAAATGTCAGTGTCCCAGCCAATTGGTTTCTTTTCTCTGAAAAATGCAGATATAAGCCTTTGTTGGTTATCACATCTAAAAATACTCATATACTTCATGCTAAAGATATGAAAATTGGTTGTAATACTAGGAGGTTTCGCTCCCTGATCTTCCATCGTTAGAAATTTAAATCAATAAATTAATTTTTAAGTTTACCCCAAATAACTTTATCAGTCTTAGACAAACAGCAGGGTAAAGAGATTACTCTTTTCTTCAAATCAGCTCTAGAAAAGGCCTACAACAGCAAAAAAAAACTGGATTGGGGTCCCCATTTAAAAAAAATTACAGGCATGAATTTCTCTATTAATTCAGAGAAAAAGACCAGAAAGTGGCCTAAGACCTGATATAAAACTTGGTTTCAAAATTGAGAAGTCCTGTAACACCTGTTAAGACATTTTCTGAAAGAAATATTAATTTTGATAAAATTTTTGCAAAATTCTGAGTTTGTATTAAAAATGGGGGAGTGGGTAAGAGTATACTACCCAAATAAACCACATTCTAAATGGTTTAAAAATGGTGACAATCTCAAATTTCAACAAAGTCATCTGATCTGAATCACATAACGCAGTTACACAAAAACTTAGCAGTGGCCTGTAAAATCTCACCATGCTAACTTAGCATTAGTTTAATTCTTTTTTTCTAAAGTTGATTTTTCAACTCTAAAGGTATGGCTACAGTTCCAATAGAAAACCCTAAAGCTTTGTGTCAGATTATTTTTTTCTTTTTAAACAAAATTTCACAACACATACAAACCATACCCATCCTGAATTCTGTACACAGCACAGCACTCTGGGATAAGACCTCTCATCATGAGTGCTTTCTTCAGACTGTCTCGGACTGTAACTCCACACCTTGCAGGTACCTACAGTATCATAAACACACATAAGAGAAAGATTAAGGGAATAGCTTTTCTTTCACATCATTAAAAAACTCTATATATTGGGGCTGGAGGAAAAAGACAAAAAAAAAAAAAAAAACCAAAAAAAAAAAAAAACCAACTCAATATATTATTTATCTTTACAACACCTCTAAAATGTCATATAGATCACTACATCAGCACAACATCATTACTTAAAGGGGAACTATAAACCAATAACTATTACTATTCACCTGTTTAAACCAAAATTTATTTTTTGGCCTTTTATTAAAATTATGAAGTATTTTATAAACAGAAGATAGTATTCCCTATAATACATCCACAAATATAATGTAACCACCATGAAGAAACAATTTAAAGCAAAACCAATTTTGAACCAACACTACTCAAAGCTGAAAGCTCTGTAATCTTAATCACACTGATGGTCCTTTAAGTGTCATCTATCCTACTGACCTTAAACATGATAGGAAGAAAATACTTGTTTTAATATGCATAAGTGATATCTGTTATTTACTTGTGCAACAGACCTAATTCTTCTGAGTTCCTGCCCTTTAGAAATCCACATAGAACTAGAGGCTATCAAACAAATGTCACTCATTTTCTGGCTACAGATGACATCAACTGGCTAATCAGTTTCCCAAATCTCTAAGAACAGCAATTGGCCTGGGAAACAGACAGACAGACACAGACATACACACATACAATCTCTTTCTCTATCTGGAAACAGTACACAAGTTTAAGAGCACTGGCTGAGACAAATTCTCACTTCTGCTAGGACAATTAAAATCTGGAGCGATAGATGGCCACCTGTCTCACTACCCTGAGAAAATCTGACTACAGAATAGAGCTAACATAGGGAGAAGTACAGAGGACACCTGGAGTGGTGAAGGACAAGGGAAAGAAAAGAGACAGTTATCTCTATGCTTGGCATTTTCTTTACCTCATCTCCCCAGGTGAATCTGTCATGAATTAAAAGACAGGCAGTGATAGGAGTATATGGAGTACAATTTTTACTGGTGGAGAGTTGTAAGATAGGAGGAGATTTGTTAATTATAATGGAATTAAGTATATCATTCATCTCAATCACTTTAAAATTATTTAACAACTCAAAAATTCCCGAAGAAATTGGGAATTTTTATGCTACAGAGAGAAATGTAAGAATCCTGAATTTAAGCAGTATATTGAAGACAAATAGAAACCCTAGTTAGAATTGGTGACTGGAAAATACAAGGGTCAGATTTTAGCTCATACAGCCATTAAAACTATCCAGCAAGGACAGTATGATGCTACGTCATGAGGAAGAGGAATCAGCATCCAGATGCATTCAAGAAGCGATTGGAATGGTATAGCTGATCATTACTCATGAAGTCCATATTTGTGAATTTGTCTGCTTGCTAGCATTTGTTTACAATTTCAAAATTAATACTTGTATTGGCTTTGCAGACATGAGCAGGGCAGTAAAATCCCTTCCCAGCAGATGTTGAACAAGGCAACACTACCTTCCTGCTTCAATTTCCATACCATAATCAAGTGTCTGATGCATAGACCACTGCCATGCTCTTTGTAGTTTTGAGCTTTTTATTTAAAATATCTTCCTAGCACAGTGCTATAGTGCTTTTAGCACTCCTAAATGCAAAAGTATTGAAACATGCCTGGCAGAAAAGTAATAAACATTAGGGAAAGTTCCTTTAGTCACAAGCCATAAATTAAATGTTAAGTGTATTAGCAATATACAGAAAATAAGGTCTCTTTCAGAAACACATAAAACAAGGTTCTGAACCCATCAACTGATGAAAATGTGACCAAAGGCTCCTAAGAACTTGACTGCATTGAGTTCACAGGATTTGAGGGCCAATCAAGGGGAATGGGATGACCACAAGGTGGCAGTCATACATGAACTTTATCTGGATGATTAGTTTGCATGCAGGGGAAGATCTTTCCATTAGGCGGCTGGAAAGAGGGCCAAAGGAATGCCAGGGATGAGGGTCAACAAGTAGGTATTTCTGCATCTAGGTAAGGTTCATCAATAGCCTGGCAGGGAGTCTCCAGGTGAAAGAACTTCAAACAACAGCAGGTTGGGCACTATTGAGTTCATCTGTAGCTAGCAGACATTGGGAATGAAGCAGTTTTGTGGGATTTGCAAAGTAGATGGGATCTCAATGATTAAAACTCTTCTTGGAGGGATGATACTTAAAACAATCATAAAAAAAATTAGTTTGGAGCAGGTACATTTTTATATTAACAGATTCTAGTCTGCTGCAAAGAAATAAGCAAGCAAGGGGCCAACAGTTAAAAGGTGATCTTCAACTTATTTATGTAAATTACCTGTATCTCCTCAGAACAATGGATCAGCATTCATTAACTCGGTGTCTGTAGCACAGTTATTTAACATAACTACTATGAATAATGAAAACTGGCTGTCCTTTTAAGAAAGAATGAATTGAAAAGCTCACTTTTTTTTTTTTTTTTTTGGTCTTTTTCCTTTTTATCAGTACTGGGGATCGAACTCACGACTGCCTGCTTGCAAGGCAGGCGCTTATGCTGCTGAGCTAAATTCCCAGCCCCGAAAAGCTCACTCTTACCATTGCCACTCATCTGCCCACGCTAATGCAAAACTCTATCCTTAGTTTTAAGTCCCAATCTATCTCACTCCATATCACCACAGAAATCTTTCTAATGAAACTATTAACTTTTTGTAACTTCTGAGAATTGGATGAAAGCCTTACATATCTCTGAAACATAAAACTTCAGAGGATTCTTACAAAGTGAATCCCCTGAACTCAGCATTGAACCCACTCTAAGATATACTTTCACATTTCCTAGCATGCTTAAAATATTACATATAAGGGAAAATTCAAATTCCATACTGTGGCACAAAAGGCCATCAATGGCCTTGGGCTGCTATCCACTCCTCCGTCTGTTTGGCAATTTCTTTTATGTACTCCAGTAATGTAAATACTTAAATATATAGCTTCCATATTTTGCAATTTATCTTGATGTCAAATTTTTTTTTTTCTTTTTTTGCGGTACTGGGGATCGAAAAATTTCTTTCAATATTCTGTTTACCAATCACAAAATTGTTTCCAAGAAAAAAACCTGAAGGCTGGGTGTGATGGTGCATGCTTGTAATCCTAGTACTTGGGAGGCAGAGGCAGGAGAATCACAAGTTCAAAACCAGCCTGGACTACATGGTGAAACCCTATCTCAAATCAAACAAACAACCAAACAAAAAGGCAGCCATGTGGGGCCAGGGAAGTGAAACAAGAAGCCAATCTGCCCTTCCCATGAGCCAGCTGGTATGTGGCCTAGAAGACAAGAAAAGGGTCCCCCTCCCCTGCCTGCCCACAAGAAACCAGCTGATTTGGAGAATCATAGGCTAAGTGACAGCAACTGAGGTAAAAACAACTTAATTCTTGTATTATCTGATTGACTTTGGACTAAGCTAGTAGTCTGAACATCTATTTAGAGAATCACGGAGAATTCCCTTCTATGTTATTTTTGAAATCCAATATTGTTCTGTTTTGTTTTGTTCCATTTTATTGTTTTGCTTTCTTCAGTGTTCTGTTTTGATTGGTTTTATTCTGTTCTGCTTTGTTTGACTGTATTATGTCTTATGGTATGGGAAGTAATTTTGAAGATAACAAGAGGTATTATGTAGCTATTGTTGATTACCTATTATCTGGTTTTGAATCTTGTATCACTTTCACAGTTTTGTTTTGGTTGGCTTTATTGTTTTACTTTGTTTGGTTTTATTCTCTTTAAAATAAAATTTTAAAAAATGAGAAAAGGATAAAATGGAATCAAAACTTTGTAAATGAGGGGAAGATGGATTGAAGGGAGGGGAGGACAATGAGAGGGAAAAAAGATAAATCAAGATATATCATGTACAGATACAAATTCCTTTTGATGAATAAGATCTCTGTATATACCTAAATTGTACCAATAAACTTAATTTAATAAAAAATAAATAAAATAAAAAACTTTACTCTGAAATTAAAAAAGAAAACTACATTGATATATTTATAACATGGCCTTCTTCAAGTACAAAAAGGAGGTACCCTACACTACAAAAGTCTTAAGGTAAGAGCACGTTTAGAATTCAGTTTATTTCTTGGTCATGCTGGATAACACTGGCAAAGAACCAGTAACCACAAGGATGATGTCTTTTACTGCTAAACTGCTGTCACATTCACATAAAAATAAAAATTATAATTCATTAATTACCTCATTAGCGCTGGACAGGGAGGTTTGAGACAGGTCTCTCCATGTAGATCAGGCTGGCTTTGAGCTCACTATGTAGCCCAGGCTGGCCTCCAACTTGTGGCATTTCTCCTGCCTGTCTTCCAAGTGCTGGACTTACAGGGGTGCATCATGCCTGGCTCTCATTAACATTTTGAGGCTCTCATAACATTTGAGTAAAAAAATTTACTAGGCAACAGATAATCCCTTTCATTGCTCGAAAAGTTAAATGGAATTTATGAGGAATCAAGAATGTACTAAGGCTGGGTATATAGCTAGCTTAGTGATACAGCACTTGCTATGCTTGTACAAGATCCTGGGTTCCATCCCTAGCAATACAAAGGAGTATGAAGGAAGAAGGAAGAAGGAAGGAAGAAGGAGGAAGGAGGAAGAAAAGAATGTTCTGGACTCCACATTATCAGTAGTTTAAATGTGAACATGAGCTAATACACTTTCCTACAGAATTCTCACAAAGTATAAGCATCAAAATGAGAGATTACTTTTAAAAACCATAAACTATTATGCAAAAGTATTGCCAGGCATGGTGGCACACGCCTGTATATCCCAAGCACTTGGGAGATTGAGGTAAGAGGACTATTAGGAGTTCGAGGCCAGCCTGAACTGTCTGACCTTCTCCCCCTAAGAAAAGTATTCTTCTTTCTATTTAAAAAGAAATTAATTACCCTTTTAACATGACTTGTGCGTAGATCTCAAGATTTTGTTTTGCTATGGCTAAATATAAAGTG